GACCTCGAAAGCCTCGAAAGCCCTGCACCCTTTTTTCCAGGACCCTTTGCAAGACACCGAGTCCAAGGAGTCCAAAGCCGAGACGGTGCGGATCCTCTCCTAGTCAAAGGGTTTCTTTCAGAGCATTCTGCTTGGCCAGGCGGTGCAGAAGGCCCAGAAGGCCGCGGCCTCTCGGGCTCGTTGGCTCGGGGCTTGGGGAGTCCTTGTCTTTTTCTGGACCCTTCCGGGCCTGATTCGGATCTCGTTAGACTTTCGAAAGCTTTTGAGAGAGACATCAGGAGGCTTGCTCTTTATACTGCCGGTGGGGGTGGGAAGGGCACGGTGGGGGGGTGGGGCTAGGCCGGCTAGGCTCTAAGATTTTTGCGAGGCCTGCTTGGAAATCGTGATAATCTGGCGCGAGCCATGCGGATGGCCTCAAGTCTTGGGGACTTGAGGGTTTTTTCACCCCCCTGCCAAAAGTTGCTCCCCACTTCTTCATGGCTTTCCTCTCCTTGAAGACAGACTTCTGAATTTGCACGCAGGCAAGAGTCTCATCGTCTCTCTCTGACTTTCACGAAGGTGTTGCTTCCAGATTGCCTCATGCAGACTCACGCATGCCTACTTGCTTATTTAGCATATTTTCAGACATCGAGATGCCTATGGACTCGGGTTCGAAAGGACATATCTTTAGGCGCTTGCCGAAGCACAAGATCAGGTGACCGATGTCTAGTCATGATCTGAACGATCGTGCAGGCCCGCGCCTGAAGTTCCAGAGCGGCGCCTACAGCATCGCGAAGGTGTTGACAGTTGACAGAATGTCAGATTCGAGCAAGCACTGTGCAACCCAGAGGCGGCCGTGAACGCGGACAGCTGCGGACTCAGGTGGTCGGACATCTGCGAGGTCGCTTGATGGATTGACTCTGAGGCTACTTCCTCGGAAACGGCGCCTCGCTGGGAGCCCGCGTCTTGGATGCTGAAGCCATGTGGAGCAGGTACTTCTCGCTGTGGCTGTCAGGTCGCCGACGGCATCAGCGAGTGGGAGGTTCGCTTTGGCCTGGTCCACGGCATGCTGGGACGCAGGATTCCCTCAAACGCATTTCGGTGACCTGAAGACCGCACGAATCAAATGGGCTGGACCAGCGAATTCTGCGTGCGTTTCAGAGTGTCCATCCATCATGTAACTCACACCCTCCTCAATGTTGTATCCCTGTTGGTCTCGGATGGTTCACGGATGGTTCAAGATGATGCGTGAGGCTATACAGGAAAATGCAAAGCAGGACTTGTTTTCACAAGATCGTGCCCAAATGACCCTGCTGCACACTGTCCGAACGGAAATCCACATAATTGTCGGCCTGCTCTTACTGCTACTGCTGCTGCTGCTACTACTACTACTACTACTGCTGCTGCTGCTACTACTACTACTACTACTACTACTACTACTACTACTACTACTACTGCTACTACTGCTACCACTACCGCTAGCATTAGCGCCACAACTACAACCAATGCTACCCTCTCAACTACCACGACTTCTGCCACTAGCACGACCACTAACATTATCATTTCCATGGTCGCTCCTTAGCATTACCAGTACCGCTACCACTAGCACCAGTGCCAGCCCCCTTACCACATACCATCCCTGCAGACGTGCAGCCCACTCATGCAAAGCGAGCTCTCCATGGTCAGCTGAAGGGCAGTGGCAACAGCTACCTCACCGTGACCTTCTCTTCTTCGGACGAGACCGTAAAAGGCATCATTGCCTGGCGCCAGAAAGACGGCTCGAACAACGTCATGCTGGACTTGGCGCTGGGCATGGTCAAGAAGGGAAGATTTGCCGACGACCTGGTGGCTGGGTTGGAGGCCAAGAGATTCCGAGAGGGCACGCCAGCACGTCTTATCAATGGCAACTAGTGCAACAGCAACAACTATATCTACAACCAACAGCAAAAACAATGACAATAGCAGCCGCAGCATTGCCAGCGGCAACGGAACAACGGGGCAACAGCAACAGCAACATCACAACTGCACCAACACCAACACCAACACCAACAGCAACAACAGCAACATCAGCGGCACCATCAGCAGCAACAACAACAACGACAACAACAACAACAGCAACAGCAGCCACAACCACAACTACAACCGCAACCACAACCGCGACAGCAACGACGCCGACGACAAGAACGACAAGGACAACGACAACGTTAACGACAACGGCAGTGACAACGAGAACACGTCAAAGGAATTGAGGCCACTCAATGTCAACAACACAAGTCAATCTCAGCACCAAGTTTCTTTAGCCACCGTGATGGCAGGAGAAGTGACAAGTAATGTGTATTTCTACACCACCACAACAACAACAGCAGCAGCAACAACAGCAACAACCACAACAACAACAACAACAACAACAACAACAGCAACAACAACAACCACAACAACAACAACAACACCAACAACAACAACCACAAGAACAACCACCACCACCACCACCACCACAACAACAACAACAACAACAACAACAACAACAACAACAACAGCAACAACAACAGCAACAACAACAGCAGCAACACCAACACCAACACCAACGCCAACACCAACACCAACACCAACACCAACACCAACACCAACACCAACACCAACACCAACACCAACAACAGCAACAACAACAACATTTTGCATTGCACTCACTGCCAGAATCAGCATGTGGACCTCTGATCACTTTGGATCCTCGGCAAGACGGCTACTCTGTATCCGCCTTGGGAGCTCCAGCAGTCTTTGCTAGTTCGTACTTCACGCCCCTCAGGGCTGCTGAAAGGATTGTTGTGCACAGCTATGTTCGAGTATGTGGAATGCATCCGCCCCTCGGGGCTGCGATAGCGCTGTGCTGGCTGGGCACCCTACGACCGCTTCCTACTGGCTCACCTGCACCCGCGACTGCTGCAATGCAGGCTGGCCCCGATGTTGTGTTGCAGGCTATAGCTGTGCGCTAGCTGAGTTTGGTGTGATTAAGGCGGGCAAGTTTGATATAGAAGGTCTCACCCGCCTTTGTTATTTCACAGTCCGGCCTTTTGGACCTCGAGAGGATCGCTTCCTCCAGATTGCCAGGTCTCACTACCTGCTATACTGAATCTGCTTTGGCAGAGTACTTAAGGATATTCAAGAGGAAATCTCCTGATCTGATGCAGCGAATCAATGAAGAAATTGAAGTTCGCACGGAGGCAACCTCCGACATCAAGTACTCAGCACTGCAAAGGTGTGAAAAGTAAGCACGGCCACCCCGACACCCTACTGTGAGTCACTGCGTCCAGCACCCACGCACCAGCTGTTTAGCGAGCCGTACCTCTTGTGAGGCCGACACTCAGCGTTCCCGTCTAGTGACGTCTCACACAGGTAACGCTAAACAACTGGCAGAGGGCCGTAGGCAGAGCGCACCAAGGCGGCCTTACACGTTCCAAGTAGGTTGCCCAAATTGGATGCAGGGAAGCTGGGTTTGCGAAGCCTTACCTGGGACGCCTTGCGCGGCTACTGGGGCCAGCGCTGCGACAAGGCAAATTTCACACCTGGTCGAGAAAATGTGGGGTTAAGGATATGTAGGAGGAAACCTCCTAATCTGATGCAATGAATCAAAAGGTTCAAGAAAACGGAAAGATTAAATTGAGATAGAAACAAAAGTGCATGCAAACTAAAGTAGATCAAGATTGCCAGCTTGCTGACTGAAAAAGAGAATTTATAATTGTAGTTTGCCTGAAGCGCAAGCTGCCCACAACTGAGAGTTCCATCAAGTGTGAGCATGCACGCTGGTGCCAACGAGATGATTAGCTGCAAACAATGCTATCTGGAGATCACTCCCTGCCTGATTGTTCAGAGCATCGGTTGACGTCAGCCAAATGCAGCCTGCGTCACGAGCGGTGTGCTCCGCATGGGGTAGGTGGGTGGAATCCCCATTGTGCAACACAGACTCAGGCATGATTTCTTCCTCATAGCCGCTGATGGTCTCAAAAAGCCATCTGCTTTTGTTGCAAGGCTAGACAAGTGATATTGCAATCCCTTGCTGGAGAAGCTCCATTGCACTTGAATGTATAAAGAAGGTCTCAAGAAGATGAAAGATGCAAGCAATATGGGAGGAAACCTCCAAGTGAAAGAAAGAAAGAGACACTATTATCAACCTTTGTGCTAATGGAGTTCTGCCATACTAATGCATGGCTAGTCAAGCTGAGAGCCGCACCTTCAAAAGGGCCGATTTATGTGTTGAAAATTGTACAGGGAATCGGCGAGGTGCAGGAAGGGGAGGAAGCCTCCGGAGGTAGCCCCCACTCATGCTGTGAGACCTGCCGAAATGGTGGTCCACTGTGCGATCGCTATGTTCATCTCCGCATCCTCGGCAAAGAACTCATCACGGACCTGCCCAACCTCTTGTTGGTACTGAGCGTCAAGATGCGGGGGCAGCATACCTGCCGTATACCGGAGAATGTGCGTCTCCCGATAGAAGCTCTCAAGTTCGGTGAGGATCACGCTGTAGTACCACGTTCCTTGGGTGGTGGGAAGCTCGGTGAACCTCATCTGGCTTAAGTAACGGAGGCTGATGCTCCGCAACTTTTGGCGCCGGGCCGCCTTAACTTCACGCCATTCATCATATCCGGTCAATGACTGTGCTGCCCAATGCAGTGTCCTCAACCTCTCTGCTTGGAGCACCTCATGTGCGTAGTTCATGAACTGGGCGAGGATTTTCACCTTGTGAGTGTGGAGGTACTCTGCAACCCTTGCGCTGGTAGTCTCGGAGGAAATGCTCTGGTCCTCAGCAACTACCTGCTGGTGCACGAGAGCAACCAGGAGCGGAGTGAGCGCTTGCACCAAGCTAGTGCTCTCCATTGGAAACTCGGGTGTTGATGGCTGGATTCGAGGTTAGAATGGCTACTGCAAACGGAAGAGTGAGGCGGTTTCTTATGGCGGGCAGGCATTGACCATTGCTAACAGGCATGCAAGAGCTATAGCTGAAAGCTGCACGGCTCAAGAACAAGGAACTGCAGAAGGAAGCGCCTGCCACTGCTTGTGGACTGCGCGACGCTAAGCTCACCTGGGCAATGAGCAGGTGGAGGATGGGGAAACTCCTCTTAGAGCATGCAAATAGAGACAACTCGTGCAGGCTGTGTCAAAGTCATTGTTGCCTTAAGCAGAGGGCGTACTTGCTGTCTACTTTAAAATGAAGTGGAGGAATCCTCCGGAGGAAGCCTCCCGCTGCGAAAGTAGACCACGGCAGAACGAATTCGGTTCAGGTGAAACTGCTGAGGACGCTTTAGAAGGGCAGAGACTTGCCTGTGTGCCGATCAATGACAGTGCTGATGTGGGACAGGTCAATGGGTCCACGCGTCAGCAGTACTCCATTCTTCGCCCGACGCACTCTGTGTCCACTGTCGATCAAAGACGGCAGGTGGATCCAGATCTCCACTGAAGAGTCCTCCCTGAATCCTGCAGTTTTGGTTGGTGACAAAGACATATGTATGTCACGTCTTTGCATTCTGCGCAGCTGAGAGGAGCGAATCTGCTGCCAGGCCCGCCAGCTCGTCCCGTGGACACCCCACTCCGGTGTTGTGGAGGAGGTCAGAACCTCATGCAGTTGATCGTCGTCCAGTGGAATGTCATGACCATGACCCTGTAAGGCTCTGATGTAGATTTCACCGTCTTCCTCTGAGGTCATCTGCTCCATGCGGACCTTCTGTGAGGTTTCCAGTACTCGCTGTACTTCATGAACCGTCACTTCAGCCCGCCAAAATTGCCTGGAATTAAGAAGGCTTTTCAAATTGGCATAGCCAGCAGCGTCTAGCGAAATGCCATACTTCACTGGGTCATGTCTGAGAGCCTGTGTGAGGAGCTTGCCTATCATCACTCGTCTGGTTTCGTGAGCGCCCCGTCCAGAAAGCCGATCAAGAGTACCATCCAGATCTGCTAAACTTGGTGTGTGCTGAGTTGTTGGCTGCCAGGCATGCTCTCTTCTGCTTCCCTCTTGCTGCTGTGGGACTTCCTGATGAAATGGATCCTGTGGATCTGTGCCTGCGGCAGCAGCGGCTGGTGACCAAACCCCCCAGGATTCATCACTATCATCTTCGGGCTGATGCAAGGAGGTCGGCAGAGCACTGTGGTCAGAGTCCATTGCCTTGTTTACTCTCCAAGGAGGAGCTGCGAGCTGCCAGGTGGAGTTATCATCATCTTGAGAGACAGCTGACTCCTTGGCAGGTTGGGAGGAGGATCTTGGTGGATTTCTGTATGAACTCGGCTCCTCCGGTCTTTCCCTCGCTATGCGTTGAACTGGGGCAGCTTCCGCAAGGGGGTTCCAGCCAGTCTGCACATAGGTCCCCAAAGGCAGTGAGTCTGTGATGTGAAGCAGCAGCGCCTCGAGCTGGACATAGTCTTCCCTGAGAATATACTGATCCGTTGCTTTGGAGCCACGGAGAGATCCTGCAGCCTGGTCGAACGACACTGCTAATTTGGCCGCAACTGCTCGGAGAGACTTGTTGCCTTCTTTCAAGATGGGAAACCATACATGCGTCACATATGACTCTGCCTTGCGCTCATGCTTGCCGGAATGGATGTAGACTCCCGGGTAGCCCTCAAAATATTGTTCTCCTTGAGAGGCATCCTGGGACGGTTGCAACTTTCCCAGATACAGGATCGAGTAGAGCGATTCCAATTTTGTCCCATGATAGCCCACTCTGTCATCCGTGCCGGTGCGTCTCTGAACAACATCTCTTAGGGGGAAGCGCACCCAGTCTTCCTGCATGACAGGATCTCCCAACTTTGCAGTCAAATCGGAGTTGCTCGGACCTTTACGCGTTCTCAGAAATGTGCGGATAAATATTTTGGCC